GGTCCCAAATGTTTTGCTAAATGATAGAAAAGATTTTGGCTCTACTGCTCATTTTTCTTTCTCAATTGGTTTTGTGTTTGTTCAGAAAAAATACACACACAGTAGGCCTATGCATCTTTCTACAAACACAGAGATACACACACTATATATAGACAGCAATGCACTTTTGTTTACTCTGCCTCTCTCATTCCCTCTAGATATTTTTGCACACTGTCACTTGTGGAATACTGTCGAAACCCAAAGGGATGTCAGCTGAGCCTGCCTCACATTGCAAGCTGTTGGCAGCTTCATTAAGGATGGGGGAACAGTGTGGAGTCCACTGCTGTTTTTCAGACTGATGCTGATGATTGAAGTGTTTGGCCAAGCTCAACAGGCTATGCCAGCTCATTTCTTCAGGTGCTGCTCAGCCTTGATTTTATTGTTGGTGTCTCATGAAGGACTCTAAAGGTGTTACTAAAAGTGCCAGCAGCTGCTGCCAGCATGTGTGGTGAAATAATCTCATACATTAAAAGAAAAATCTTAAAAGGTTTCAAACAGGGTAAAAATGCGTGTTTTCCTATCCTCATAACCCAGCCTGTACAATGAAATTACTCTGTATTTGTCGTTGTGTAACATTTTTTCTTCTGTTTGTTAATTTCAGAATTATCTGCATTATTTTGTTCTCTATCCAATTAATTTTAGTTGTTTGCAATCCTGCAGATATCACCTGCCTCATCCAATCCACTGCAGTCCCATAGAATCCAAATGTCTTGCACATGTGTTTTTTCAGGGAAACTGTTGCTTACTTCAGTGTTCAAGTAGAGGGTAGAACGAGAATGGAGCTCTGTGCTTGGCCCAAGTTGGCCCTTTTTCCTCCAGGCCAATAAAAGAACAACTGGCCATAGCCCCCTTCCTTCTTTTGCTGATACAATTAAGATTAAAAAGGCACAACTAAAGTAGACTTTAGCCACTGCTGCAGTTTGACTGCCCTGCATAAAACATCACCTAACTTCCTGCCTAATTAGACCAGGACATTTCCTGTCATCTTGAGCTTGCAGGAGAGCACCCTTGCTCCCCCAGTTCATCTAGGCTATAAAATCAGGGATATGAGTCCTGCAAACAAATCAGAAAAACATATTACTATATATTAGGAACTTAGGTAGTCAATTTGAAAATGGGGGAATCTAAGGTTTCCAGAGCTTGCTTTTGTTTTGTACTCAAGAGCACCATACATAAAAGCAAGATACTCCTCCAGAGTCAACAGTCTATCTCCTCAGGAACACCTAAATTTAAGGACAGATGGCAGTAAAGGGAGAAACAGGATGTCAAAGCATTTTGTGTATTTGAATATTTTTTAATTTCCTAACCATACACTGTTTTTCTTTCAAACAAGGACTAGCAATACAGTTATTTCAGCACATAATCAGGTTATTCTTGATGGCCTCCCAAAGCTAAATCCCAATGTCACACATAGGTTAACATCATCTCCTAGTGGCTCTGTGCCAGAGCAGGTGACAGCAATACTGTACTTTCAACACCAATCTCTACTTTCTGGTAGAAGTTGGGTCCTGTGCATTCATTCCTTTTTCTTTTTTCCTGTCTAGCACATACAGACCACTGGTTTAACACATTTTTACATTCACTGTAATGCATGTCCATCTTCCTTCTTTTTAACTCATTTTTCTTTAGAAAACAAACACTTCAAAACAGCACAGAAAGTAGGAAAATTTGTCTGTAACATGTCTAGTAGATTTTAGCCACTACAAATCTAACTGAAATACAAGACAAAGAAGCATTTTAATAACCCATAAACTGAGGCTTTTTCCTCCCTTTTATCCGAGTTGCTCCCTTCCCCCTCTGTCACTTGCTATATGTTCATAATGCTAGGGAAGGAGAGAGTTTGTATCTGAAATATTGATCTTTATGCATTATATTTAATGGCACTGATAGCCTGGCCAAAAAGTATGGGCTATGCAGTAAGACTTTTGGAGCCAAATCAGATATTTTCTATGGCAAAATATTGCTGAATGGTCTGTGGAAAGTCTACAAATATTTAAGTCATCTACCAAAACTGAAGAGAGGAAAGAGAACTGGAAATCCAGAGATTTCTGTTATCTTTCTTACTCTACTATACATTGACCTTATAATCTGGCACAAGGCACTCCAGCGTCAGTAGGTCCTTCTGTATCTGCATATAGGAAGATGAGAGGATGGGAAAGATAATTTCATTAGCATTTATAAGACAAACTGTGTGGAAAGCATTGCCACACAACTGTCATTTACCCTGTTCCATGGGGTAGATTCCAGTGAAACAAAACATGAAAAGCAGCATTTGGGACCTGCTTGTAAAGAAGGAGCAGAAGTCCTCACTAGGCTGAACTCTCCCAAGGAGCTGCCCATAGGCTAAAGAAGAGAAAGCTTCTCTAAAGATTGTTCCCAGCAATTCCCCAACCCAAGGGGTCACTGTTATTAAGTAAGGAGTGTCATTCTCTTCAGGTATAATAAGGAAAAGCTCCGTTGCAGGCAAGCTTCATTTTGATGGAGGTTTGTATTACCTATAAATCCTTCTTTTAGCCAAGAGACCCTTGTTGATTTAACACTCTAGTAAGCATTATAGAGAAGAAAGATCAGCTGGACAGCTGGCAGGTTTTTACTTTGCATACAAGTTGAAAAGTCATTAATGCAGTGGCACTCATTACCTCACACATTATTAACACTTTAAGGTGTGAACCTGAACCCCTCTCACATATACAGCATCACTCACTCAAGATCCTCTGCCCTAGAATGTGTATTTTAAATCCTTTTTGCGTTATGGAAACTCACTTATAGACTACAAACTGAAACAAAAACATGCAACCATCCATTATGAAAAATAAAACATCCTTTGTAACATCAGCAATGGTAGCACCACCTCTTCTCTAAAACAGCATAAAGCTTCCTAGTCTCTAAAAAAGCAGCTCTGGTTTTGTACTGATGTGTCAGTTTGGAGGCAACAACAGCAAAAGTATATAAAAGTGTAAAAAAAGATTATTGTAAATTATGTATAGCAGTTTTTGTTAACTCCCAAAACCAAGGAAAAACACTAGGCAAAATAAACAGGCATAGGGAAAAAAAGTAGTAAATAAAACAGTGTGATTCTGGTAAAGACAGACTTACTTGAGCACTTGAGCTCACTTTACAAGAAGACACCCCCAAAATCCCAACATGAAGATCTGTTCTGTACACTTTACATTTGAAATAGAACGTTCTTCTCTCCTTCAGCACATAGGAAATGCCCAGCACGCTCAGCAGGAGAGCGAAGCCCAGAATGCCATAAACCCAGTCCTGGCTCAAACACATCAGTGGTATAAGGAAGACAGTAAGAATAGGGATGAGATTCAGAGCCCATTACAGCAAACAGTGGACTTTGAACCTGACTCAAGTGTGTTGAAGCTCACCATTGATCTTCTCTTACTCCACTTTATTTTGAGGTCTGAGTTTTTACTAGTCTTCTCATAAAATTGTTGGGGTTTTTTTCCCTTTTCTTCTTGGTTGCACGAAAAGATGCAACTTACAATCCCAACCCTCCGCTGATTTCTGCTCTTATTACATTAGGAAAAGGAGGAGCACTTGCCAAAACATATAGTCGCATTCAGTATAACTACCATATATAAAAAACAAGCTATACCAACTACCAAAGCATTTTCTTATAGGAAGAAACATAAGGTATTAAAAAAGAGTTCACTTAAATTCAGAAGTCAAGAAGTACTTCCCAAAGAACTTTTTTCCATTTGTAGAAATATTTCATTTTAAATTGGTCTTTCTTTACCAAAGACTACTTGATTTCTCATTTCAAGCTTATTTTAAAATTACAAGTGAAAAATACCAGAGGATGTTTACAAAAATTCTGACTTTTTCTTGTTTAAAAATAATTAGGAGATTAATCCATAAAAACCAACTCTCTAAATTCAGATTTGGCTTTGATAAACTGGCATTTTGTAACAAAATTAGGCAAATATCTCCTGACTTCCAATAGAAAACTGTC